CAGGGCTTACAGCTTTATAAGTGACATCGATATCTATTTATAATTTTTTTTTTTTTTTTAATTAAGCTTCGATTGATCACTGAGGCCATTAGTAGTAGGTTGGTTGGTTGTTATTGTTTGGTTTTTTGGGACTGTAGATTTTTGGAACACTTTTGTCGACCGAGATTCGAATCGACGCTATTTATAATTATAATCATTACCTAGGTATTAATTAAAATTAAAATTATACAATTTGTATGTGCCCCCCCATAAAAATATCAAAGATCCACCCCTGTGCACAGAAACCCGAATATTGCTCCTAAAAAAATGAGTATACTGGTAGATGATACAGCAAATATACGTCAATATTTGTGGTGGATGATTTTTGCGGATGTAATCGAAGAAATAGATTATGGAAATATTACGACAGATTACTGGATAGCAAGCGTTGAAAACGCATACTAGACCTACAGTACTTAGCCTATGCAGCTTGAGATTGTTTTGCCGAAAATCAAACCTGTCCTTGCAACAAATCAACAAAAGTTGATACCGTGGTAGAAAATTCTTCTGAAAATATTGGTAAACCAGAGGATCTAGAATAATAGTCATCAGATATCTATCATGGTGATCGACTGGAAGCTGCAACAGCTGAACGAGTTCGATGGAGGCCGTTAGTATCGGCTTTGGGGAGACGAATTATTAAGGTCCGTAGAAAGTCGTGCTGCCATCCTTGGTACGGTAATTATAAGAGATCGTCTGGCTGATTGAGAAGACGACGAGTATATATTCAAGATCTGGAGGATGGAAAATCTGCGTTTATCCTGTGCTCATTCAGTATKCATGCTGTGTTTGTCCTGTATCTTTGATCAAGGACCCTAGTGCGTAATAAATATTTACAAGACAGCATATATGTTACCTATTTGCTATTCAGTGTATAATACTTTTATATTTCATGTACATAATAATATATTGTTATATCGAAAATAACAATGAGATACCTATTTMCAAATCACTTGTTATTAATTCAATTGGCTGGTAGGTATATAAAATAAAACAATTCAAACGCAATGGTTCTATTATAATATTCTTAAGTAAAATACAGATCCCAATTATTTTATTAAATGTTGTAATAGTGTAGAATAAAAAGAAGATTTAGTGTATTCGCGAAACATAATAATAT